TCTTGGTTTTGACCTGTAATTCTTAGAGGTTCTAGCCAAAATTTGTTGAGGAATACAGTAGATCAGACCTGTGATGGTGGCTGATTTTTGGGTCTGTAGAAATTCGTGAAGTTCTGTGATATTTTTGGTTATGTTTTAAGATTTAAGATATCTTTTGAAGATAGATGACTAAATTTGGGTTTGATTGAGTCTCTCATAATCTGTATTCTCTCGTGGAAGGTTTAAGCTGTGCTTAATATTTGAGCTAATCATTAAGCCCCCATATTAGGCTTTAACCTGAATTGAGTGAACATTTCTTGGTGTTCTCTTTATTTTTTGCAATGTGATTGTATGTTTAAATTTCGTTAGTTTTACATTTACGGGATTAAAAACCCCAACAACGATTTTATACAACGTCTACAATAATAATTTTCATATTGCGTCGAAAGATTACATAATATTGGTATGATAACCTATGGACCACCTACACTTCTTAAGATGTCGTGACCTCTTAAGAAATGTAAAAATAGCAACTCTAATATTGACATCAAAAGCTACATGCTACCCAAAATTGAAAATATAACCAGATCTTTGTATAATTTCACATCGAATCTAGAATTTGACTCGAATATCAAAGTGCATACATCCGTTGCACACCCAAAGTTGCAAAGCATTTAACTTTTTCTCTGTGCAAATACATGCAAATAGATGGTGAGAATTGAGATGGTCACAATCTACTGAAAGTCAGGTTTATCAAGATTATCTAAGGTGTGCAAGAATTTTGTGTATTACCAATTTGGTACTTTCTCATGCACTCGATCATAAAACACGCAATTGAAATCGATCTTTCTTTAAATAATTACTTTTAGATAATAGACGATGCAATAAGATGCACAAAAAAAAGGAAGAAGAACAAGAAGAAGAGTTTACATGTAGTGTGACAATAAGAATTGAATGTAGCATTGTCTAATTTAGAAGTTATGAAAACTAACAAGCCCAAATTAAATACATCCCATACTTGGGGGGTGAAAGTGCAATTCTCGCATTAAAACTCTTCACTGCTTGTAAATTCGAGATGGTTCTGTCCTTCTTCTTGCCTTCTTCTTGCTGCACAAGAGATTCCCAATTCTTTACTCCATGAGCCCACACAAACACCACCGACCTATATATACAGATACACACACATAATCCATCTGTAAAGCCCATAAATTTTCTGTTGAAGGATTTGATAAATCGAAGTTATAGTATAGTTTAGTGAAGATGATGATCAGAATCCGAAGCCGGGACGGGTTGGAGCGGGTCAGTATCGACAACCCGCAAGCCACTGTCGGCCAACTCAGGTCTGCAATTGAGTCGCAGCTCCGGGTTCCGACGCATTCCCAAACCCTGTCAACTAATCAAAATCTTCTGTTAGCCAAAACCCTAGATGATTTTACCCGGTTCACCGACATGTTGGATCCTATTACCCGGATCTCGGCTCTTAACATTGGGCATGGATCTATAGTTTATCTAGCTTATGAGGGGGAGCGGACAGTTGCGGGGCCGGTGTTCAACCCTGCTGGATCTTTCGGCAGGAAGATGACTGTAGATGATATGATTGCAAAGCAGATGCGAGTTACCCGACAGGAAAACCCGCATTGTGAGCATGTTTCATTTGATCGTGATGCAGCGAATGCTTTCCAGAATTATGTGAATGAAACCCTTGCTTTTGCTGTAAAGCGAGGTGGGCTTATGTATGGGACAGTCTCTCCGGAGGGGAAAGTGGAGGTGGATTTTATTTATGAGCCGCCCCAGCAAGGTACGGAGGAGAATTTATTGCTTTTCCGCGATCCTGAGGAGGAGAAGTTGGTTGAAGCAATTGCATTGGGGCTGGGGATGAAGAGAGTGGGATTCATATTCACACAAACAGTAAGTCAGGATAAGAAGGACTATACAATGTCGAATGCAGAGATTTTACAAGCGGTGGAACTGCACACAGAGAGTGATTTGAAAGAGTGGGTGACGGCTGTAGTGAAGTTGGAGGTGAACGAGGATGGTGGAGCGGACGTGCATTTTGAGGCGTTTCAGATGAGTGATATGTGTGTAAGGCTGTTTAAGGAAGGCTGGTTTGAGAAGGAGATCCAAGGGGAGATTGACCCGAAGTTGTCAAGAATGACGAAGGATGTAGTGGTTGCAGGGAAGGATACGAGGGAGGTGGACAATGACTTTTTCTTGGTGGTTGTCAAGATATTTGATCACCAGGTGAGTTAGGTTAATTTTGATATGGTGTTTTTTTTTTTAATGGCATTTGAGTGAATTGGATTTTGATTACTCAAGATTTATGCTTTTACTTGAAGTTCATTGGTATACAATTGAAGCGTTGTTAGGATTAGAAAACTATAAATCTAATTGTTAAAAGCATCTCCTTTTTGTGGTTATGTGATCTTGTAGACAAATTGTTGAAGAAAGTAATCTGAACTAGTCAAACTGAGTGTAACATAAATCATGTTAATGATGTTAAAATTGGTCCACAAGGAGATTTGAAAGTATTTCAAAACATTACAGAGGGAAAATGGTTTTCTTTCTGCTTTTTCTATTTTTGGGTTGTTTGATTAAACTTTTGTTATAGTTTAGTATATTTTGATAAAAGTTGATAAAATGTGTTGTTGAAAAGTTGTTGGTCCCATGCAATGTGTGGTTAAAATTAAAGTTTGAAAAGTTAAATTTTTTTGCTAAGTTTTATCAAACAAGCACCTCCCCTTCCTTTTTATTCCCTGCAGTGTTGAGGGTCCTTTTTTTTGGGAAGAGCATTGGAAGGGATGTTGATTGCTAGTACTAAATGGCTTACTGATTATAGATGTGATTGGGTGTGAGTTGGGTTGGGTCGGTTTTTTCCCCAATCCAATATGGTCGGTTTGATGTGAAATAAAACCAATCCAACCCAATTATTGGTTTAAACCCAACCCACCCCAAACCAATCAAGTTTGGGTTGGTTTGGGCTTTGGCCCAATAAAAGTTGAATTCGATTAATTTTTGTTGAAGTTAGACAATTTTCAAAGTTTGAAATTACTTGAAAACCTCCATTTATTTTTTTAACACCTGTATAAGGAATTCTTTCTGAAAAATAATGTATAAATAAGTTTAAAATTATGAAGTATTTAATTTTTTACAATTTTTTTGGGATTCATTCATTTCATCATCATGTCCTAAATTTTTGTTTTATCATTAAATAACTTTGCATTTATGCATAGTATTCATGTCAATCAGTTTAGGTAAAACAAAATTGGACGTTTATAAATTATAAATCCTTCTCTTATCTTCACCATTGTTTCTATTTATTTATTTATTTTTAATATTAATTTTTTTAAATATATCGGGTTGGGTTGGGTTGGGTTGGATTTTAATTTATAACCCGAAACCCAATCCAACCTCAAATTTGATTTTTCAACCCAACCCAATTGAACTTAAAAACCAACCCAAATCGATTGGTTTGCGTTGGGCAAAACCCAACCCTAGATGTGAAAGAACATTTGAGTTTGCAAACATGAGTGCAGGAATTCAGCGAAATTAAGGAATAAAGAAACTGGAAGGTCTATGTATGACGGTATGGAGCAATAGTTGCACTGGAAACCAAAATCAAGCGACTCGTTATATCTGCATAGTATTGATGTGCAAGCACCTGGTTTCCTTTGCTTGCATTAATATTTTCAATCTCACAACTGGAGCATAGTCGTTGTTTTCTTTACTCACTTAATTGGATGTGTTAGACAATCTTCTTTTCGTACTTGAATTCCTGCCGAAAAGTTAGCAGAACACATCAAAGCCTGCATTAAGTTCAGCTTATATTGTCATAGAGCAACCCACGGCTCGGGCGAGTGTTGGCCCGAGCCCGATCCGGCCTGTATCAGCCAGACCAATGGCCCGTGTCTTGAAAATAAGGCAGGTAGCTTGCCTCCAAATAGGCAGCTGTACAGCTGCCTTTAAAAAAAATTAGAATTTCAAGGAAAAAAAGAGCCAGCTCGACTCGGCTTGAAAAGGTCCGAGCCGAGCCCCATTTTTTTGGCTCAGGTCGGCTTGGACCAAAAAAAGCTCAATCCGTTTTTACCGGAGCCACGCCCGACTTTGGTTCAGCTCATTTGCATCCCTACATAGTTGTGAGCTGCTTGACAATCTCAAAATACCCTCTCTCATCATCTTTTCTCTATTATAAGCTCTTTCTTACATGGTTGATGGATGATGGACTGAGAACGGGTTGTATTTCTTCGTAGAGCTGGTTTCTGAATTTTAGCTTCCTCATAGAACCTGAATTTTTTTCACCCTCTCTGCCTGTTTGCATGATATGGCGTCTTTCTTCACTATCTTCATCTGTGCATTTCAATCTGTTCATAGGCTTCTCGTTTGCTTTTACCTTCAGACTTTCTAGATTGACAAAACTCTCTGGAGTTCCTCCCATAATGCTTGTAGTTGAGTAATTTGCTATGTTACACTTCATGTTCGAAGCTCTTTCTTAGTACGCCTGGTTACTATTTTTCTACTTCTCATACATCAGCTCATTAATGCCATCTTCCTCATCTTCTTCTAATGAATTTATCAAATATGAACCTTTTGAAATTCTTCCATTTTTTTTTCCTCTAACCATTTGAATCTCCGACTATTGCTAATGAACCAAATTCGCTGGCAAGATTTACATGCCTTTCTTGAGCTGATTACTTCATCTTCTTCCATTCACTGCTGCTAGATTCTTTGTAAGCCAATTCATGGATTGTGAGGAAGAAAGATTTATGCAACATCTTCTAAAACTGTGATTATTAGGGCAGATCAATTTGATACCTAGAAAGCTGTTTCAGTTTTAAGTGCAGACTCTGATTACTACTGGACAAAGTATATATTTGAACCTTGGCCTGTCTTGACTTTTGTATATCGTGTTTGTCCTTGATAGTTTAAAACGGCTGTTTCTTTGCTAATTTTTCTAGTTAAAAACTTGTACATGTGATATAAGATTCTTTATTGCATGTTGAAAGAGGATCAGAGGGTTGTCATATAATAGGGCTACAGGTCATTTGTTTGCTTTATTGTCGAAATTGGAATAATAGTTTTGGTTCATAACCTTTGGCTTATTAATTGTTCGTTTTTGCTTCCATGGTATGATTTGAAGTGAAAGCTACCACAAGCTCAAATTAGCTACTTCACAAACTTTCTACACACGTCTGCTATGCATAATAAAAACCAAGATATGGTGTAATAAAGCCAGACGCGGCACTGACTATTCTACACCTAGTATCTAAGACTGGGCAGTCGCATCTGTTGGATTATTTTTGGGTTCATAGATGGACGTGATGTATTTTGGTCCTATCCGTTTTTTCACAATATCTCTGCCTACTTCTATTGATTGTGCATTTCTGATCTAGGCAGTTATTCATACAGTATTCTCAAAACAAAGTTCACTAAAGATACAATATGGTTAAAAATTAATTGGAGTATGCTGCATTAGTTTAGCTTCATCTGTGCAAAGAATAAGCCCGAGGCAAATAAATTGTGCGGTTGAGAAGATTTGAAGGATTAAAGCATTTCTCTTTGATGTATGATTCTGTTTTTTATGTGAACTTTCTATGCTGATGCAGGGCCCACTTTCATCAACATTTCCTATTGAGAACAGGAATGTCCCAATATCAATGCAGGCGTTGAAAACCCATCTGGATCGATCAAAGAGTCTCCCTTTCGTGAAGCGGATTTCTGATTTCCATCTGCTGTTGTTGATAGCCCGGTTTTTAGATGTCAATGCTGATGTTCCTGCATTGGCAGCATGTGTACAGGCACAGGCTACTATACCAGAAGGATTTCAGCTCTTAATCGAATCTATAGCCAGTGCTTGATGCGTCTGTCATGGCAGGATGTCGTGTATTAGGGAAGTCCGTTATGAATCTCGAACACGGGCAATATGCTCCGGCAGATTCACTAATGTAACTAAAATCCACACTGTAGTGCTTTAATTTATTTGGAATAATGCGTTGCTAATATTCTGTATTTAATGCTATTCAATTACATGCTTTGATGCTTAACTAGCTGGACTTGGATTCAACTTGTTTAGTTATGGGTATGTTAGTTTTACGCACTTTCATTAGAATGAAAATTAAAGGAGATGCGCTGACTAATGGAGGGTGATGACAAAATGCGATAAAAAATGTACTCAAGTACTATAATAAATAAAGATTGAGGGCTTTAGGGGTAAATTATAATGTTGTGCAACAAATAGAAAATATGACGTTAATGTAATTACCCTAATTGAATACATTATATTTTAATTGCAATTAAACTCTTTAATTTTTGTTCATTGTAGTAATTATTTTTCTTAACTTTGTCCATCGAATTTTTATCTTTAACCATATCTTAATTAGTACGTTTCGTCCTTGATGATGATCTATATTAAAATATTTTATTTTTATGCTTTGAAATGAGAGAATATTTTTCCCATTATTTGTTTATTTATTCTTTAAAAATATGATGGGAAAATAAGTTGTTTTTTGCCATTTTAATGAACATTTAGATATAAAATTGTTATCAAATAAAAAATGTATTAACTAATGGAAAGTTTAAGAATAAGAATTATATGAAAAATAGTTAGGGACATAAGTAATATAATGAACAAAGATTAAGAGCCTTAAGTACTATTAAAATGTATTACAAAAAATAGAAATTGTAATGTAAATATAATTACCCAATTAATATTAGTAAAATTTGTAGCGGAGGTTTCAAACTTTTTAAGAAAGTACCACGCGGTTTCAAACCTTTTAATCATAGTAGGTACATCATACATTCTAAATTTTTAAAACATATATCATAAAAGGACCTCTGAATGGTTTCCGTAATAAAATTCGTTAGTTGATTAAAAGTCAAGTATTTGATCATATTTGAAAAGAGCAAAATGATGAATTTGTGTTCGATTCATATCCATGGAACAAAATTGGTATTATTTGAAATTATAATTTTGGGAATAATGTTTTTTGGAAAACGTGAAGTTAAAAAAGAAGGAAAATTTTTCGATTTATGGGTAATATTATTTTATGTAAGATTGTATAGTTAAAAGTAAGAAAGGGACAATTTTTTTAGAATAGTGGGGGTCAAATGTAGGCTAAATTCCAAGGAATCATCTTTTTAAGAATAATGCTCCTTGGCCTAGGTCAATGACACGAGGTGAGCAAGGTGGGGTTGGGTGTTTTTTTTTTCAAACTGTCCAATCATATATTGATACATATTCCTTCTTTTGTTGAGTTAGTCACTGTAACAAGTTCCTTTTTTTAATTTGAGCATCTTCCACAAGGTGACACAGAACTATGTACTCTTGCTGCTTGGTACATACTAGCACTATCATAATCTGAAAGGGCTCAAAATTAAAGAAAAAGAATTCTAATGCCATTTGAGCTCTCTCGAATTAGTTTGATTTACTGCTCTCAATCTCTTTTTTTTTCTTTTTTTTTTTATCAAGTAAATAAATTGTATTGATTAAAATTGTGAGTACAACTAATATGGGTATAATCGGGCAATCCAAAAGAAGTATCGGAGCATGAATCAAAGCATTACAACTTCGGCACATCAAGTACACGAAGTGCTAAACTACCAAACCGTTTCAAAACCTCCAAGAGGAGATGAAAAACAAATCTGTCAATAACAGTTCACAATCATGCTGCCCGAATTTCGCAGCTTGAAGAACCTTGCAATATTCAAAGATAAACTTTAAAATTGGACGGATAATTGCCGATTGATGAAGATCATAATCGAAATTTCTCGAGTTAATCATAAAGACTGCCTTCAAATTTGTGCCTTGGAAATCTGCTTACCCTGTTGGAGTGCTTGGGCAGCATTATGTAATAGGATTCTCCAATTCCAATTTGCTTACCTTGTAGCTAGCACACTGCCGCTTTGGCATCAAGATCAATAACCATATCAATGCTGAATAAACCAGGCAAGCAAGCTGTTGGTTCATCTAAGAGACATGGCCGAAGCTGCAAGCAGGATGCTTGCTTCTGTAATGGCCGGCAGATTCCACCATAAAAACGAAACCAAATCTGGAATGCAGGCAGGAATTTTCAACTTCGGGAATATACAATGCAGGCTGGCTGCTTGTTAACAAGAACCAAATCTGGAATGCAGGCAGTTTAAACTTCGAACATGCACTAAGCAGCTGGGCAGAGGCTGCTTGCAAATCAGAATAGAATCTGGAATGGTTGACTGTTGAAACTTTGGACAGAAAACAAAACGGTTGGTGTTGGGAATTTACTTAATCATGCACAGCGGAATTAAAACAATTTTTCAATTCCCATTAAGGATATGCAATGTGTTTAAATAGAAATTGTGATGAGAATTATACCTTTGATGAATTCTGCAAAACCCTTTGTTGATTCCCGAATTCCAATTATCACGATCTGCAATCCAAGCTGTCCAATTGTCCAGTCTCCAATGGTGATCTACACAGAGGACAAGAATGGTGGCTAGGGTTTCTTTTCTTGTGCTAGCAAGAATAATAAAATTTCATACTGTTTTCAAACCCTAGTAGCCTAATAATATAAGTCCAAATGGGCTCGGCACATCTATTAAACTTAACCCGGTCCAACATTTAATTAATCAAATTAATTAAATCTGGTCCATGAATTAATTGATCCAATTAATTAATTCGGGCCTATTAATAAACAACCCAATTAATTAATTATCCAACACTTGTCAATTAATTAATTGGTAAATCTCATTCTTCTAATTCTCTTTTGTGTGTGACCCATTAGGTTCCCGATCACGATGCCGAACGACGTGAATTATTATTTTGATCTAATCAAAATCGATAAATTAAAACGCCCCTTTTAATTTATCACTAATTCATTTTCGTTGTCCCAGATTGACATCTAGCAATGTATCAGGGCAATACATGTGACGGGAAATATCACGTAGCATGACAAAACCAAACTTGTTCGTTTACCGTGAAACTATAATCCTTTCGTCAATATGATCCGATCAATTATGAGATATGGATATGTGTCAATCTCAATTATCGATCATATCTTTTATCCCACTGTTAAGTCAATGTACGTCGAAAACTCTTTTCCGACTTATGAGTTCACCTTGGCCAAGGATTTCATTATTAACTTAACTGGATAAAATGTAGATCATAATCTCTTACTATCTAAGAGTGACGAATCCTCTATTGATCATTCACAACCTTCATATGATTCTTGACATACCCGAACGATGCTGTATTAGCGACCCTTGACAGAGCAACATCCAACATCACCAAAGTATGACTGCCCTCATATAAGGTACTATGATGACCTCAAGTCAAAGGACCAATTCCACTACCGAACGTTAGAGATTAACCACTAACACTTAGATAGTTATCCATGTGGAATCTCTCAGCGGGTCTCCAATGTTTTGTTCTATAACAAAACATCCACGTGTTCATTCAAGTGTCACCACACTTTAGCTTGTGAGATCAGCTACTTACTTCACAAGTAAGAATGCCACACGCGATAGTCTATCCGTAATAACGATATCCGTATCTCGTTATTACTTCGACCACGGACGATTTAAGATTCAGTCATATGTAATTTGTATCTCACAATCACAACTCCTTGTGATTAACAAATCACCAAGACTTGAATCTACGGATTCTATTATTTAATTTATTAGAATATTAATTCAATTAAATAATAGATATTGCCATACATATGCATTGATTATATATATATTCAAAGTGTTTATGTTTAAAATTGATTGGATTTAGGGCATAATACTTACAGTTGGAACAGGCAGGCTGCTTACTTAAATGTTTCTTCTTTCCCATAGCTATGAGAGAATAGAAAATAGCACAACCAGGCAGCTAATCGGTTGGTATGAGTGACGGGGTCAAATGACAGGCTGAAATTTAAAAAAAAAAAACACTTCGGGAAAGTTTTTGAATCAAGGCCATACAAAGTACAAAAAATTTGAAATTTCTAGTCAATTTTGGCAACCAAAATACTGCAAAAGCAGTCAAGAAATTCAAAGAAACTGTTTGGGAATTTTTTTTTTGAATTGTGGCCAACCAAGTACAAAGAATTTTGAATTCTTTGTCAAAATAGTTAGAAATAGGCTACATTTACAGTCTTTTTGTACAGCCAATGGGGCCCACCCCATGTGAGGGGACTGCGTAATTGGCTGTACAAAAAGACTGTACAACTAGAATTTTCCAAATAGTTAAGATATAACTGCAAAAAGCAGGTAACTATGTTGTAAAACTGCTGGGCAAATTTAACTTGGAAAACAGGGATTTGAAAAATCTGATGCGGCATAAGAAATAGGATTAAACTATTTGTATACATAAAGTGTACACCCAAAATCCCCGTTCCTTCCATCTTCAGTTGCCGTGCCCACTGTCGCCAAAGGTTTCACCCTCGCACGACCCATAATCTTCGGTTGCTTTCAAACAACCGGACCTTGGAAGCATTGCCCAATAACTTGCCCCCAGCGACTTCGTCGGCATCTCTTCGCGACCTTGCTTCCAACGAAATCAACACAAACACATTTAAGTCAATCGATTTCAATTTCTTTGCAGTGCTCAAGTAGTCTTTTTCTACATTGCACCAGTTCTGGCTTCCATTGAGGCTTTTTGCGTTGATATGGTATCTTCGATAGATTAGTGTGCTTACATTTTAGTTGTGATTTTGTATAATTGATTTTCAAAAATTATTTCTGATTAGCTTATCCGGTTGGGGATTTGCATTAATTCTCATTCGTGTGTTGTCTTGAATTGGTAAATGACCGAGTTCACATATGTTGTCTGTCCTTTATTCCTGTCGTAGAATGCCCGGAAGGAACTCTTAAATTTGTCATGACTGTAGAGTTAAAGATC